GCTGCTACTGCTGCTGCTGCTGCTGCTACTGCTACCGCTACTGCCACTGCTACTGCTACTGCTACTGCTACTGGTACTGCTACTGCTACTACGACGACTACTACTACATGTGCCACGACTGCTACTATTATCTACTATTGCTACTATTGCTACTACTACGTGTGCGAGACGTCAGTAGGTAGACAATGCCAGTAGTCAATGGCCGGCACCAGTTTAAAGTACTGAAGCCAAGCGTGCCGCCAGGCTACGTTTAACTCAGCATGAGGCAAAAATGCAGTGATGTGCTTGCAGCCTGAAATTAAAACGGTAGGGAAGCCTGTGCGAACGATATTCCTATCTGCCTGCACTCACAAAGAACATGTTTCCCCGTGCTTCATGTCACATGGAGAAGTGGACAATAGAATTCGGGATGTGCTTGTGGCCCAAGCAAGCCTTGATTGAGTTTTGCCAAGGCCAGCGAGATCACACGCCTGCTTTGCGCTATGCCAAGCGCATACTGGACCCGTGTTCTTCTATATTGATTGACGGTGCTTGTGCATAAGCGCAGCGCGAATCTGAGCTGAGCCGTTTTCTGTTCTGGCATTGGTTTGCACAGTTTGCTTGACCTCCCCGGCAGCCATTCAGACATCGAACTCAGTCTAAGTGATTCTAGTGCTTGCCCGACTCGCCCAACTCTTTGACGGTTTCCGTGTGATCCCGTGAGGACAAGAACCACTTGCTGCCGGCACCATCTCCTGAGGCACGAACTCCCGACGAGAAGCAGGATGGTCGGGATAAAGTGTCTTCCGAAGACAGTTCCGGTCCTAGAATTGACAGATCCTCGTGGTTTACGGCAAGTGACGTCTGCATCACATCCGATTGACATGGTACTCAGACGACTGCTTCGTCCATTTCCGGCCACGTCGGCCACAGGACATGAACTTGCGAAACAGCTTCGTTGGCATGCGCGATGATACCATGAAAGGTCGTCTTATAATGAGTACCATGATGAGTCGCTGCTGCAAGCACCGTCGGACGAGTGTTTGCAGTTGCGGTCGTGAGTGTGGCATGCTCTCTGACGAAGCTGAATCTGCAAGGAGCAGCTGAAGAAAAACTGGACCATCCAGGCATGCATGCTCTGACTTGACCTGGGCTTCTTGCTAGTGGCCTCAAAGATGCTGACCTCTCTCGCAGTGTTGGTGTCAGCTGGTTTCAGGCATGTAGGGGTTTGCTAGATGAAACCCTATGTTGCAGCAATCCGTCAACGATCGCACCTTGAAAAGCTGAAAGCTTCAATCACTTCAGATATCAGCGTTGATGAGCTGGCGTTCAGGCGCAAAATTTGCCGCATCCCAAGGATGCGAAAGTTGTGACCAGGTGCGGCGGGAAGGTGTTGATGCGGGTGAGATCTGCATAACTTGTGCCGGCAACGTGTTGCAGCTAACAATGCGCCATGCCTTGTCTAGCTGTTACAGTAGCTACTCCTTCTTTGAAAGGGTTTCCTTTCAAGCACGGTAGCTAAGTCCGAAAGAGGAGTGTTGTAACGGTGCATATATATATATATATACAAGTGTATATATATATATATATATACACATAAGTTGAAACACATCGTGGTAGCCGGCATCCTGTCACATTTTGTCAAGGTTTCTAATGCCAGGGCGGCGCAAAGGAACGCAGTTTGACTCAAGATGCTTGCGATTTGAGGAAGCTGGATTGGTGCGATGCTGCACACAAGAAGAGAGTTCTTACATGTTCTTACCAGATCGACAGAAAAGCAATGGAACAATGCAGATAGAGCTGCGTAGCTGATTTTCAAGATTTTGAGGATGATGTGATGCCAGAGTGGTAGTTGACAGCTGATAGTGGAAGGCAAACGACGCAGCCTCTGCGACACGGACTCGAAAGCTGTAGCTGCGGCGCAAAACCTCATAGAGTTGTGGTGCGACGCGGGGCGATGCGAGGAACCAAAGCTACCCAAAACTGCGCTCGACAGAATTGAGCGTTAACTTGGTCTTGGGGGACGCCAACGCTTTGCAGACATGTAGTTAGTGTTTTGACGGACTGGTCCGACAGTGCTCTCTCCTGAGATTCTCGTCTTCCTTGGGCACAATCGCCTCCGCGGTGTCCTACACAGCAGAGGCCGGTTCGCAGTCCATTTGACCATGCCTGCTGTTGCTGAAAGCTACACATGCGTCATATTTCGTGGACCGCTCGAGGCTTTGTCGCAGTCTGGAAAGGTGCTGGAGGCCTTTGGTCAAGTTCAGCATAGAAAACTCTTGCCTTGGTGCTGGAGCCCCTGCAAAGTGAAAGGGCAAAGGTGTGACCTGATAACTTCCGAAAGAAGGTTGAGCAGTCAAGACTGAGTCATGCCAAACATGCAGAAGAAGATAGACACGGGTGTCCCTATTTTGTCGGGAGTTTTTTCCATTTGGTTCGGGAGTTTTTGTTCCATTTGTCCCCGGTGGTGCGTGGCAGCAGGCCAGCAAGCAAGCACGCAGGCAGGCAAGCAAGCAAGCAAGCAGGCAGGCAGGCAGGCAGGCAGGCAAGCAAGCAAGCAAGCAAGCAAGCAGCCAAGCAGGCAAGCAAGCAAGCAAGAAGACAAGCCAGCAAGCAAGCAAGCAAGCAAGCGAGCGAGCGAGCGAGCGAGCGAGCAAGCAAGAGAAGAGCACAAGCACAGAAAGCAACAAGCCAGCAATCCAAGCAAGCAAGCAAGCAAGCAAGCCCGCAAGCGAGCAGGCAGGCAGGCAGGCAGGCAAGCAGGCAAGCAAGCAACCAAGCTAGCAAGCAAGACGAGAAAACGAGCACAAACAAGCGAGCAAGCAAAAGAAGAAAACAAGCAGATAAAGCAAGCACGCAACTAAGCTAGAGAAGGAGTACGCATGTATTCACAGAAGCAAACATACAGGAAAGGATGCAAGCAAGCAAACATTTCCATGACTGTTACTGCTACTATGACGATTACGAATGCTATTACTATCACCACGACTAGTACTATTGCCATGAATGTTGCCTGTTACCTTTCTGTGACTGTTTCTGCTGCTATGACTTTTGCGAATACCATTAGTATTATTGTTGCCAGTACTATGACTAGTGCTGTTAGCATTGCTTTTGTTCCTGCTGTTACTAGTGCTGCAATTAGTGTTGCTATTGCCCCTGCTGTTACTAGTACTATTACTACTTATTCGTACTGGTACTAGTATTAGTACTATTGCTATTACTACTACTCTTACTCTTACTCTTACTCGTGCTCTTACTAGTACTCTTACTGCTACTCTTACTCTTACTCTTACTCTTTACTCTTACTCATGCTCTTGCTCTTACCCTTAGTCTTTGTCTCACTCTTACTACTTCTACTACTACTACTACTACTACTACTACTACTATTACCAGTACGAATACGATCACTAGTACTGTTACCGTGACTGAGACTACTATCATTATTATTACTAGAACTAGCACTACTAGATCATTATTACTATCACCGACCTGCTGTTGCTATGAGTAGTCGTACTACTAGTATAATCAGTATCCGTAAGAGTAATACTATCCGTAGTACTAGTATCATTACAATTGCTGCTGGCATTGCTCTTACGATTATTATTGCCATAGCTGTTAAGTACTACTTACAAAATCATGCTTACTTCAATTATTATTGCTATTGCCATGTGCTATCAATATTATGCGTATACTGTTAGTATCATTATGTCTTTCTGTATAGTTATCAGTGTTACCATCATTTGTATGAACTCTTTTTTATGATCTTTGTTCTTACGGTTGACGTTGATTGCTACTTTTATCATTATTACTACTACCGCTACTGCTACTACCACTCCTACTATTGCTAGTTTTACTAATAGTACTGCGACTCTTACTGCGTTATGGCTTGTTGTTGTACGATTAGTATTATGATTATCATGATTCGTATCATTCCTGATGCCATTACCTAGCTAGAAATGCTGCTACGAATACTCTTACTATACTATACTGACTCCTACTCGTACCATTACTATGATTATTTCTATGGCTATTCCTAGTCTTGTGACTGTGACTTTGACTATTACTATTGCTGTTACTAGTACTAGTACTAGTTTGCTAGTACCAGTTTTATTGCTATTAGTATTTTTGTTACTGCTACTACTACCACTACTACTACTACTACTACTACTACTGCTACTGCTACTACTACTACTACTGCTACTGCTACTGCTACTGCTACTGCTGCTACTACTACTACTACTACTACTAGCAATACGGC